TGAAATGGGCAAGGACATTTAATAGAGTCATACAGTTTAAGAGTAGATAGAGATTTAATCTACAAAGGATAAGTAGTGGGGTATCAAAGGTATCATCCTTGAGAATCCAGGGTAAAGTTCTCTCTGTATATTTATTTTCCTCTTTGATCTTTAGGTAGAACCTTCCCTGTACATGAGTACTATCTAGAGGATGCACTTGAGAAAACAGAGTAAGCTGATAATATAAATTAAGTTGAATAGATTTGCTAGTAGTGTTTCTATTTTCAGTTTAATATTATGTTTTTTTCAATGAAAAGGTTTCAAATGGATCCAAGTTCACAGTATGCAAGGCCAATGAAAAGATCCAAATCTTCAAAGCAATTTGAAGATGGCTTCAAAGGAGCAGGGAGTTCCCAAAACCTTACTAAGATTGCAGGAGARGTGATAACAGCTAGAAAGAAACCACCTGGCAATGTCAAGGATGAAGTYTTGAGTGAAATACAGTTGGGGTTGAGATATGAAGGTATTTCATGTAGATAAGATTTGTGAACCAMGTTGTAGAATTTCATGTTTTCCTTCTTAAAAGATGTTGCAATCACATCTATACATGTGAATGTACATCCTGAAAAAAATTGCACTTTCTCAATTCTTTGTGCAGTCAGCTATTTTTTCAACCAACTAGATGGCCTTGAATCTTTGAAGTCATTTTGAGTTGGGATGTACAGCAGGCGCCATGTATTTTAGATGTCCAAAACAGTTGAATTAAGATCTTTACAAAAAATTCAATTAAATCATATACCTAATTGTTTGTTTCTAAGACTACAGTCAAAGAACAGTCTCAGCTCTGTACATCATGGACCATGAGAAAACTAACTTTGATCTGATAGTGACAGTACTGGAATGGATTATCACTGGTAAACATGAGGTAGGTATTTCTTGCCATAACCTTACGGTTTGCTTGAGAAATATCTTGAATTACTACTAATTAGACCTATCCAGCACTCACTTGGATGACCACAAAACAATGTCAAAGCTAAAACTACAGTCTTGACTTGAAGCCATWGTTATATTTGTGTGTTGGATAGGTCTATTTTTAGATGTCTCTAACTTARTCCMTTATGTCATTACAGCATCCAGAAACTGGTGCAGTTTTAGTCTTCCTGTCTGGATTGGCTGAAATAATGACATTAATGGAACAACTGAACAACCACACCATGTTCAAGGATAAAAAACGGTTAGTTGGCAGAGCACAGTATGACACAATACAAGACAGTGAATGTAAATAATTTTGTTGCTTTTTTTTCAGGTTTTTGATATTGCCATTGCACTCAACATTATCAAGTGATGAGCAATCATTAGTCTTTAAGTAAGTGTTGAAAATAATGTGCTTGTTTTTTTAATAACTTTTTGAAATAATTCTCAAGACAGAAAGTAGAAACTGGAGGGTTTAATAATCATCAATTCTAATTTTATTAGAAATCCCAAGCAAGGTGTTACCAAAATTGTCCTATCAACCAACATTGCAGAGACATCAGTAACCATTGATGACATTGTTTATGTCATTGATTGTGGAAAAATGAAGGAAACCAGGTTAGTAAATACTTCCCTTTCCTAACTATAGTTGATCAATATAATGCTTTACTGTAAAATGTGAAACATATTTTGTGTCTGAGGGTATTGTCTGTAATGTGGAATTGACGGAATACTGTCATTTTGTGATCGTTTCATCCATTATTTTACTAATACTATTGATATGATATGTTACAATGTAGATATGATTCAAGTAAAGGTATGGAGAGCCTTGAAGAGACTTGGGTTTCACGTGCTAATGCGCGTCAACGTCGTGGACGTGCTGGCCGTGTCATGTCAGGGGTTTGCTTTCACATGTTCACAAGTCATCGCTATAACTTTATCATGCAGGAGCACCAAGTACCAGGTAAAAACATGAAACACTTTTTGTCATTTATTTTTAGACTGAATATGCATAACCAAATATGGGTGTGATGGTCATTTAWCTGGGTCATTATGATAATTAGATGTTAATGTTGATTACCAAGTCGTGATTTCTTTTCAACAGAGATCAAACGAGTTCCATTAGAAAAGCTGTGCTTGCGAATAAAGATTATGACTCTGTTTTTTGGCCATGATGTGAAGGTAAATACTGACATTAATAATTATTTTTGAATCAAATGTAATTTAATATTCAATGTTAGATATTTTAGTTCAATGACTATGTACAAAAGAATGTGCACGGGGTTCAGGGAAAACACTGGATAATCTTGATTTATTCTTTTATTCCAGTGGAGCCTCGTCTGCAATTCTTTTGTGCATGGTCACTGAATCAAAATATCTAAAGTCGGCTATTTACCTATATTAGTTGACCTATGTTCCTGCATTTAGCCACATATCAGCAATACACCTTTAACATGCTTATACGCAATACAATTTTTATTATTAATATGTATTTAATATGTATTGCGGTTTCTTTGTAGGGTGTACTCAACAAACTGTTAGAACCTCCTAGTGAGAATGCCATTGATGATTCATTGAAAAGACTTCACAGCCTTGGTGCCCTAGACACTAGTGAGGTATGAASTCATACATCCAGACTGTCTAGTCTTGTATAGGTGACTTACTTAGTATTTTATTCCTGCAGAACCTCACGTCATTGGGATATCACTTAGCAGCYCTCCCAGTTGATGTCAGGTTAGGTTTGAATATATCCTCTCTATCAGCTAGAGTGCATGTCAAAAAAGCATGAAACAATTCTTAACAATCAATAACTAATACGATTTAGTTATCAACTATTAAGAATTCACTGGAGCATGAATACAATTGCAAAAAGGAAATTGTCTTTGTTTACACCTCACTGAAGTCTTAGTTTAATAGTTGATGACTAAATCTTATTTAGGCACTAATTAGTTAAGAATTGTTTCACACGTATGTAGTGTGCACTTTACATGTACTCATTTAATATTAGTATTCACATGCTTTTTATCATTCTTTATGATTGTAATTATCATAATGCTACCTTTCTGCAGGATTGGGAAACTTATGCTACTTGGAGCAATCTTCCGGTGTCTTGACCCAGTGTTAACGATTGCTGCAGCYCTCAGCTACAAGTCACCTTTTGTAAGAACAATGATAGACATTGATCAAATGCTGTTTGATGTTAGGAAAAGTTGTTTCAGAGTGAAGAGACAAAGAATTGACTTTTGTTGGCGTGTTTGTTTTGTAGAATACCCCATTTGAAAAGCGTGATGAAGCTGACAARAAAAGGAAACAGTTTTCCACTGGATGCAGTGATCATTTAACATTATTGAATGCATATCAGAAATGGATTGATGTCATGAAAAAAGGCACCAGCRTTGGCTATCGCTACTGCTATGATAACTTCCTGTCCGTCAAAACATTGCAGGTAAATAAAAGCAAGTGGCACATTGTAATAAAGATCTCCTTCTTTTACTACAAAAAGCTACAGCCTAGGCTAGGCCAAAAAGCCTACCATGATCTGTCAATCCGTAAGGTCTGAGAAATCTTGATATTTGGATTTATTGCAGATGATTGCAAGCCTCAAGTGTTTGTTTGCAGAGTTACTGGCCGACATTGGTTTTCTTAACACAAAAATGACATCACGTCAGCTGGAACGACTTGCTCCAAGGACAGGAGATGGTGTACTACAAGGCACTGGACCCCAGGTGAGACATCTCTTATGCAACTTTATTTTGCATTATCTTATGAAGCACATCTAATGTGGTGTTTCTTATATCATGCAGGTCAATTCAAATGCTGACAATCAAAAACTATTGTTGGGGGTGCTGTGCGGTGCTCTGTATCCAAATGTTGTCCAGGTTGTAAAACCACAAATTAAGTACAAAGCATCAAGTAGTGGTAAGTTTGACAACCAAAAATACATGCACATATTAATAAATAAGTTACTGACTTTTCAAGAACAAATTATTATCTACTAGCTATATTGNCAGACAACCAATGGATGATTAATACCCATCCTTAACTTACCACAAGCTAGAAAATGAATAGGACTTTTGACACTCAATAACCACATCTACTGTACATGATGATTGTCTAAAATTAATTTACAACCATTTTTTTCATGATTTAGGTTTTCATCCACCCCAAGTCAGTGAATTTTGATACGAATACTTTTGATAGTCCATACTTGATATACCATGAAAAGGTCAAGACTTCGAAGGTAATTTAAATCAAATGGATTCATCACTCTGATAATTGTGATCATTTTTGTGATTATGGTATAATATTTGTTATAGGTATATGTTCGAGATACCAGCATGGTGTCAGTATACTCCCTGTTACTGTTCTGTGGTGATTCACTCAACATTAATGTCGAGAAAGGTGCTTTGGTGATCTCAATTGATGATGGATGGGTACGTTTCATCTCTTCATCGAATCAAGTAAGTTAAGACCAACAACAGCCATCATAAAAAGCTAATAGTACACTACAGACAAGTAATGAATCATTACTACTGTTTGCATTGCTAGTGATTGGTCACATAGCTGTGCAAATACATGTTTCATGGTAAAAAACTTTGCTATGATACTGTTGACACTACATTCATGTAAGCTTGTAACTCAATCACCAATGAGTATTACAATTTTGAATGGATAAAAATCCWGCTGTATTTCTGATGCATTCATACATGTATTTCGCAGGTTGCAAGTTTAGTTCGCACTTTACGGATTGAGTTGGACAAGCTGCTGTCAGACAAGATTGAAACACCCAGTTTGGACCTTGTTACTTGTCCACGTGGAAGTCGKATCATTGAAACAATATGCCATCTAATAGCAAGCCAATGAGGGTGTTTCAACTAAGCCACAAATGGTTTAAAGATGTGAAGGTTGTTAGGCTAAAGTGGTATAAACAACTAAAATATCAAATTCAACCAATCACTTAGTATTTTGAGATGGCAACACTACCACAATACTGCATGTGGCTGTATAAAGCACAATGCATTGTTGCCATTAAACTTCACATTGGATACATTACAAAATGGMATTTCTAAATTGAATTTGTTTCCATTGGAGTTTTTGACTGTAACCTTGAAACCAGGAAACTTCTTTCTARACAGCAACAGAATGGCTGACAATGCATGTCGGTCTTGGAATACACTATTTTCATGATCAGCATTCAATGTTTTCTGAAAAACCTGTAATTAAAGCACAAATGCCCTCATAAAAGTATTTTATTCTATACTTCAGAATGAATATTTCAAAATATTATACCAATAATTTTGTACAATTATGTTACATGAAGAGAAAGATTATAAAATAGTTATCAGATAACCTTATTAGATGATACTTTACAGCCATATTTTTTTCAGTGTKTAGAAAAATATTGAATTCAACCCTATTGCCATTTTATCAATATGAGATGGGAACAATGTCATAATATACTAATGAATGTAATGATATAGAATTAATAAAATAATTATAACAGACTTAAACAAAATGGTAAATAAATTGTTTGTACTCAGAAATATCATATTCTTCACTGGATGAGGAGAACAATTCACTACATTTAGATTTGTAGATTTGAAGCTAGTCAAAATGGTACACAAATAATATTATTACATTAATAGATAAAAAAATTAAAACCTAGTAGTAAATATCAATAAAGTGCAATACTTCCATGAAACATCAAGTCAAAGTAAGAAAAATTGCATCTAATTTTCATCGTTTGCATTGCTTAGTGACATAGCCCAGACAAAATTCACAACAAGTGATCAGTGATAGACTGCCATCAATCAAAGTTATTATAAAAAACTGGTGGTTGACAACAAAGCATTAAGTTGATTGACAGCTGTCTATTGCTGTTTATGCCATTATGAAGTTTGATCTGGACTGGGCACAGATGTAGTAAATAAACTTTACCATATTTACTCTACTTCTGTAATGCATGCTTTCAAATAAGTGTATATTAGAAATGAATTGATTGATTGAAATATTTTTACCAAAACTAATTTCATTATTTTATTAGAGCTAAGAATTCTTCTCTTGTTTTGGGGTCATCACGCATCACTCCCAACATGCAACTTGTTACTGTCTTGCTATCTGTTTTTTGAACTCCCCTCATTACCATGCACATATGMCTGAAATAATAATCAATTAATAATTATTAATATTTTAATAATTAATAGATTTACTATGTTACTTCAGCAAGTGCAGATTTTGGTGGAATATTTTCTTACAGATGATGTTCCTGTTCTGGCAAGGACATAATTCAGTAAAAGATTTACATGTAATTCTCTAATTCTTCATTTTGATCTGGGTAACTTATTGCTTCTACATGCATGATTGAATTAAATGCAAAAGTATGATGTCCTCGTCAAGAAGCAGCTCTGCTTGCCTATGGTCCATTAATGTCAATGCCACTTTACGYAATATAAGCTCACATTGTTAACTGCAGGAGCTCCTACACACTTCACTTTGAGCTTGTAGTCAAAGGTATAAAATTTACCACTATAATTATAACTATCATAAAAATACTCACGATGCTTCAATGACAACTCCAACACCTGCTGGACTGGTTGCATTTACAACTGCTTGTGCAATTTGTTTGGTGAGACGCTCTTGTACTTAAATTAAAAAAAAAACGAGACATATTCATTTGAAGTAATTATGACATCTAAAAATGAAGTTTCCAAATGTCATTACCTTGAAGCCTCCGACTGTACATTTCTACAACTCTGTAGAAATTATTAAAGAAAAGTGAACAGCATTAGTCTTTTAGCACACAGCATTTTCTTGGGAATGAAGTAGGGGTTCAACAGAGTTCTGTCCTCCCCCACTCCCCTCCCCCCTTCCCTCTCCAATAGCAAAAATCTGCAGGGATACCAAACCCTCCCCCATTGCTCCATGACACTCCTACACAAGCCCCTTTGATTGCCATATACTACTAATTCCAAGATGGAAAATGAGGAAAATCTAGAATGACAGCATGTATCTGTTGTTTCTCTAAACCTTAAAGGCAGATTGACGTACACAGGGGGCTTGGGAGAGTATTCTTACAGTGTAGCATTTCTACTTTACATACAAGAGTGAAAATGATCTAAACACAGTAGAAAATGTTATTCTTCAATATTATAGAATATGACCTTGCATTACCTTGCCAGTTTACTGAGTCCTACAACCTTCTTATTTGGTAAATAACCAATATGAACCTACAATGGATTAAAGAARCCAATAAATTCACTATTCTGGCATAAGTGAAGATTATTTTTTTCAGTGATAGTTTTGGAAATATCATGAATGATTTGAATACTTATTGTGTAATGACCTTCCCAACAAAGGGAACTAGATGATGTTCGCACAAAGAGAACATTTCAATATCTTTAACTACAACCAATTCATCATGATCTTCATCAAATACTGCATCATTTAGGAGCTCTGCAGATGAAAAAAGATATAAAACACTGCAAGGTGATAAATAATTATATTTTATCAAATTTGAGTGAGATCTGGATGGGAGTGAAAATGAAATTGAAAATGAAAATGAGAGAAAATATTAAACAGCACAAAAAGAAAAAAAATATCAAAAGTCATGTATGATCATTTTATACACAGACAAAAATCCTTTCCACACACAAAAAAAATAAAAAAATGCCCACCAAATTGAGAAGTGTAATAGAGCAGCTAATACTTCGTATCTCCCTGGAGCGATTGCCCGGGGGGGTACTCCCCTATATTCGCTATACGGGGACGTGCCGCCAGCTAGGGTATCGTTTTCAGCGATTTTACTCTGGAACAGGGTATCGTTTTCAGCGATTTTACTCTGGAACTGGGTATCGATTTTAGCGATTTTACTCTGGAACAGGGTATCGATTTCAACGAATTTTCTCTGGAACAGGGTCAGGGTTGAATTCCGGAATTATTGATGCTGGATAAAAATTCATGGGGTAAAAATTCGGTCTACACGCAAGCTAGTGCAGGATTTTACTCTGGAACAGAGTATCTTTTTCATCGATTTTACTCTGGAACAGGGTATAGTTTTCAGCGATTTCACTCTGGAACAGGGTCAGGGTTTTGAGGTCCCAGCGGCACACCCCCACCCAAGTTTCGGGGGAGTACCCCCCCCGGGAGCGATTGTGTGTCATTCAAGATCAAGTGCACGACTTCAATCTCCATCTCTTACCATCTAAATTTTCTTCGTAACCTTTCGTGAAAAACAACATCGCTTCAGCCGCTCTAGAGGGTGTCTTAAGTAGACCTTGTCTCTTGTAATCTTTTCCTTCAACGTTCTCTAAAATGGTTTCAAAAGCATCACGAATTGCCCCTCTTCGTTCGTTGCGCGAGTTGGAGTCCATCTTTCTTTCTGCAATMACCGGTACATCTGACATGTTKAGACCAATCGATATAAATGGCTTGATTTCCTGRGATTCCTTGCTATTATCACTCATACTTAGCCGATACAATAATACACGGATATTTTTATATTATTTCACGTGGTAAAATGTAATTCTATTTTCACGCGCTAGTTGAGTAGGGTCTGGGTACGAGAATGCCAATCCTGGTACCCAGACCCTTCTCGGCTTCCCATCTCATTCGATCTTCATATAATACAAAAAGATGTCACATCATAACTAACAAAAATGCTAAGAAAAACTGCTAAGAGGGTCCGACGAATTTTCTAAAAAAACGTTTGAAATGGGAAATGCTATTTCAGCATTTTAAGAGAGTTCCAGAACATGTTTTATGCAGTGAATCAGAAGTAAGCTTACTTCTGAGTGGGTCTTTTATACGATTTATACGATTAATTATGGCAGCTTTTGTAAGGTAGTATGTGATGAAGGGGTGTCACGCCATACATTTCGGAGTTACACTGATAGTTTTCACTTGCGATTTGACAAGGGTTAAAGTTGGTCTAGCTGACTTAAACTGCTTATAACATTGTGAAAAACCATTGTAATTTCATTTCGCGTTGCTACCTTTTTGATATATTATATGAAAACTGAGAATTTCGACGAAATGTACGAAAAAATCGCCACTCGGATTATCAGTGGGGGCGTGGGTATCAATTTACATTTCATATGGAGTGGAGCCCTCGTAGAACTACAAAAAGAAATAATTTTCAGCATGTAATAGTTCTGGAGCTTTCTGCTTAGTTTAGTTCTCATAGAGCCGTGTTTAACTACATACACTCGAAATGTTATAATTTTACCCTGCACATTTTTTTGCCTTTAAGACCGGCTGAACTACGATATCGGATACCCGGGTTTRAGGATCTCAAACAGTAGTTGAATTACTTTTCATATGGCTAAAATAAAAGGAAATGACCTTACGTGCAATAATCTACATTCGATATACAATAATGAGGCAAGAATATTATAGCTATATTAAACGCGAGGCAAAGACTTACCGAAAGAGTAAAGACACCGAATAACCCYTAGTCCCACAGGAAGCCCAAAGCTAGTGACAATGAATGATCAGTCAGAATGCGTTTCTAGCCATTACCGGTACTTGACATGCATTGATTGCAATGCGTCACCGGAATAGTACATTCTACATCAAGGGTTGGGGTTCCAATTTTGYATAGGACAGCTTTTAGAATTTTGATTTTTGATTGATGCTTTTGCTTGCTTGGAAGACAGTAACCAGGGCCGTTGCACGTGTAAAATAAGWAAAACAAATGCCTACAAGAAAAAATAAACATGACTAGAATAAGTATATTTCAGTAAAAAAAAGAAAGAAGGAAAGAAAAAAGAATTGTTTGAGACGGTCGAGTCGAGAATCGAACCCGCGATCCTAAGGTCGACGCTATTCGAGTATGATAGTCTGTGTAAAATCAAAATAACGGCTCGAAAAAGTAATTGTTAAACGAATATCTACAGAAAAAATCAAATAAGCACTTAAGCACTAAACTTCTAAAATATAACAAACATCTCGTAAATATGAATAAAAAATTGCTACGATAAAAATCTAACATGACTAGAACACCTATATTTCAGTTAAAAAAAGCCAAAGAAAGAAAAAAGAAAGAAAGAAAGAATTTTTTAAACGTGCTCGAGTCGAGGATCGAACCTTCGTTCCTTGGAATCTAAGGGTCCCTTAGGATTGCTAAACTGCAACGTGGAAAAAAATAAATTTCAAAAGTCTCTGCATTTTATAACGGTGCCGGAGGCCTTCGGCCTGGACACGGTAATTAYAAATCGCAGTAAGACGAATAACCATGATCATCACAGTTGAGAACGGATTTGCACCAGTGGGACGCAAGGAAACCGACGATATGAAGAAGTGATTAAACATACAAGACTAAACTTGTTTTTGTGACTGCGCGCCCTTCAGGGTTAAGTAAGAGCGCAAACAAATTTAGGAGTACAATGTGTGTCTGCAGATAATATATACGCCCTAATACGTCAGACTGAACATGATTTTTAATTATAAGGAGCAGCTGGATGGATTTAAAACTGCCGCATTGTTTTTTTTAGTTTTTTGTTTTGTTTTGTTTTTGTTTTGTTTTTTGTTTTTGTTTTTTTTGGTAGCCCGCCTCGTCTAGAGCTTAAAACTCTGTATCAGAAAAGGATTTTTTTCTTTCGAGGGTATATTAGGTTTTTATCGTTGTTCGTCAGTTTTGTATAGTTGCCCACTGAAATTCAGATTTAAATTCATCATGCCCTTAACTCAAACGTACTAACGTCCCATGTATGAAGTAGTGTAGCAGAGTGTGTAGTTCTCGAAACAACTTTCTACGGTGCTTAACTACTGGAAGAGCTTAGGTACTTGATGCACTTTTTGGATGCCATATTTATTGAACGGGCGTATATGCTCCAGAAACGGTAAAATTTTGACAGCAAAATRAAACATTGTAAATCTATAGAAAAACAAATAAACAACTAATTACTAAACTATCACTGAGAATAATAAAAGACCAAATCTMATGGGTAGGCGAGAGAACCACACTTCATGTAGAAATCCAGACTGCGTTCCGTTTCAGCTCCATGATTCGTTACGTGGCCTTACRTACTTACAGTCCGCTTTGCATAATTGACTACAAGACCTTTGCAGATATTGATGCGGCTCAGTTTTCCTATAAGTGCGCTTAGGGCAAGGCGGTGATAGCAATATTGGAGTTGGGTTTTATTTACGATTCAATACGGGATTCTCGACTTTCAATGGTCCGTGACCTGTGAGAAACACACCGTATTCTCATGACATCATTTGGTGCTTAGTCTGGGCCAAGATGCCACAACAAAGCTTAACGCTTAGTTGGTCTATCCTGGTAAATCGTTTAATCAAACATATTTAAGCAAAAAAGGAAGGCATTCTTCAGGTGTTGTTGGTAGAACGAGCCGCTATAASGCARATTTATTCCTGTAAGCCTGAAAATCAGYAGTCACCTTTAACAGCTTTTGTCACAGAAGGTAAGAGTCTGCGTTATAAAGTAAACAGAATGATACCGAAGAACAGTCGAGAAAAACATTGACTTCAGACCGTATTTCTTATGAGTCATTGTTTGCACAAACTCGCAAGCATTCGGTACTGAATAGCCCCCTGAATGGAACTTTCATATGCGACTGACAAATCTCTTGTTTTCTATCATTTAATACGATATGATTCGATATAATCAAATGCTATTTATTCTACGAGTTTAATGGAGACACTTTAGTTCTCTTATAAACTTCAAAACCAGAAAAATGTCGTCATTTTTTTACCATTTATAATCTAGACACAAGCCTGGAGGCCAAAACAATAATGATTTTGAACTTTTAAATAGTMGACCAGCTATTTCTGTATGATATAGTCATTAGCAAGAACTGCATCRTTAATTAGCTCAAATATATGGTTATTAGTGAAGGATATATTGCCAYAAAGAAGGAAAATTGTGGAAGTGATGAAATACGATCCATTGCCTCAAGGTATARGAAGCCTCGTATCAAGCTGAATTGTCTGAAAGGCCAGGGCCGAATCTATCAATGCTTATAGAAAGGCCTATTGAAACTGTTTCGTCTGRSCTGGACATCTGATTGAAAAGCTGCTCATGAATTTAGCTATTKGGTAATTTCACGTGACATTCTTGATYTKACTTCATGTGTAAAAATACATTAAAATATTTTCGTTATTGAGCCACGTATCAATCAACACTTCAGATCTACTTCGTAACTTTGACGTTTCAAACACTCAATATCGTACGTAAACAAGAAAACTTCGAGAAACAGCATGCAAGCACCGGCACATTTAAACACACCATTGAATGCAATTCGATGTAATGTTTCTATTACGAAACWGGCAAAAATGAGGGAAAWTTTGAAGAATAACTATCAGCCCGATCACTATATAGCTTAATCATATATAGATCAAAATTGATACTAGTGCGTGAGGATTTAGGAAACGACGATAGAAGCCTTTATTGCATTTTAATGAGATAGTGAAGGAATGAAAGATGGGATCAATATRTAGCAATGTCGTCAGAGGAGAGTGATTGATTTTAATCGTCAAAAAAAGCTCGATTTTTCATTTTCTATTTCCCGCGTAGGAAAGTTTCAAAACCTATTYMMSGWRRAAARKYYTTYYWAAAWYYTKKTTT